TTTATATGGTGTCCTATGGAAGTGTTTATATGGTGTCCTATGGAAGTGTTTATATGATGCCTATAGAAGTGTTTATATGGTGTCCTATGGAAGTGTTTATATGGTGTTCTATGGTAGGGTTTATATGGTGTCCTATGGTAGTGTTCATGTAATGTTCATTAGTTTCCTGTGGTGTATGTTGTTAAGTAATATAGTCAACTCACTAGTAAGTTACATGTTACGTTCAGTTATGTAGTTGATTAATGTGATGCTATTTTATTTGTTCGGCATAGTTTTATTGTGTTCTGTCGGCTGTCTGTAGATAACCGCCTTTGTTGTACGAAAGACATTTTTCAGTACGAGAAATGATGTTGGGGTTGTATTTATCACATGATTCTCAAAATAATGAGAGTTATTTCCCCTGGGTCTCCGTTCCAAACCGTGTTAGCATGCCTCATTGCCAAGTCTTCCAACATATATTTATATAAGGAGAGTTTAAGATTCATAAGATTTTAATGTCTCCATCACACAACGATAATCGATCGGCCAATAGTACTTCATTTATACATGTTATAATTACCATTACGTGATAGAATGTAGATTTAGAATAAAGTAATAGAATGTAGATTTAAAAATAAAGTAATAGAATGTAGATTTAAAAATAAAGTAAAATACGCGTAGTTCTACATAAACACAAATATTTACACAACTTCAATAACTTAAAAATGTTCAGGTCGGTAAGCCTTAAGGACATTGGGCGTGGCATGAATTGTAATAACTTAAGTTACAATAAACTAGTAGAATTAAAAACAAACACATTTCATAATATTAAATATTTCAAACACTGTAATGATGCATTATCTAGGTGAAACGAATTAATGAGCTAATTTCTATGGAATTGGAACTGATTTCCAATGGTCCATTTTAAATTCTACTTAAATGTAAATTAAACCAAACATTTATGGCTATTGTATAAAAGGCTAACAGTCTGAAAGTGAAAGCTACCTAAAGTCTGTCAATCTGACAATATCTGGACTACACATGGAAAATTAAGTATATTGAGTCTTTCTTTCTTATTCATTACCATTCCTATGTCCGTTGTTAAATAAAAAAGCAAACTTTTTGTTTAATATTTAAACGTTGGTACATGTATATCAGTTTGAATTTAAAGTTTTTTTGTTTGTATTAGTTTTCTTTAAGACACACAAGATCATTAATCACACATTTGTATGTAGAGATCTCTATAACTCTATTTGCATGTCTTTTTAAATGTAAGAAAACAAGATGAAGCATTTAATGTTTAACTGTTAGTGGATAGAAGCTTTTAGACTCTCATACTGTTTTTGCAGGTTCATTTCATAAACACGACCATCTTCATTTCCGGCTAAACACGATACACACACACACTATAATGTTTTTGAATTTAAGAAAAAATAAAGAACACGCCCAATTAGTGTCTCCAAACTTATATCACCAATTATGCGTACGTTAAATTACATTTCCGTTGTACCGCCCTTAGTTACTACTGGAGCTGTTAAACGTGAATGTTTTCCAATCAAATACAATTATTGTCTTTCCGTCAAACTAATAAATGTCGATGATTTGATAAATTTAACGTTTTCGCAACAGCTAAGGTAGTCTGGAGACGGGTGCTAAGGAAGACAAAATCAAAAGAAAGAGGACAGGGGAGCGAAAATAAACATTGGTCAGGTCACAAAATATTGTTACACTCTTCAAAATGTGTATTTTCCTTCCTGAAATTCACCTGCAACATACCATTCCTTCGGAAGTTATGATTGAAAATTATCTATTCTCTTCTTAATTTTCACAACTTCATCTAAACTCTTGTTGTTATTGATATTGCCAGACAAATATGTCCAACATGGTGAAAGATTGCGACCTTGACCTAGAGTGCGTCAACCCTGTCAATGACTTGGTTCTTTTCCAACCCATTCGAGGCGCTTGTATCCGGGGTGAAAATGTTGCCGCAAGGTACAACCTAGGATCAGAGTTCACGCCCTCGTCCTGGGACTGGATTGGACTGTTCACTGAAGGATGGTCCTCCCACCGAGATTACATCAGCTTCCATTGGGCCCCTTCCATGGTAATCGACCCCCGGCGTAAGAACCGCCGGAGCGTGCTCTTCACGTCAGAGGATTTTGAGGTAAACTTCCTCTCATACTTGCGTCGTCTGAAAATTCTGTCTTCTACATGTAATACTTAAAAAAGGGGACGGGGCCAATGATACTGACCTACAAATTCAAGTTTCAAATTCAAGAATACAGATGAATTAAATGTAGTCATATGAGAGAAAATACTGGTGGTAAACAATGGTGATTTACAACAATTGACAATATAGTTATGTTCTCCGGTGACACATTTTTAACGTTAGTCGCATAATCATTTTGTTTAATGTTAATTAGTATTAAACATATTCAGTATCAATAAAAGCTTGAACGTTTGTCTGGTGTTGTTGTCAAATCAGGTAATAAGTTTATAACTGGTAACATCGGTGATCGAATTTTTTATTTGCTTATTTATATTTTCCTTTTGTCACAAAAATAAAATTTATATGAAATTCATCAGGCTGCCAGGACAATGGAGGATAATTTCAAATTCCTCTACGTCACGTCCTGGAATCACGTGGTCGGCGTGAGTCCAAGCTTTAGGCTTGAAGGGGCAATTGGAGAATACGAAGATCTATGTTTCGACTTGATGGAAAATTCTATCGAACGACCCCTCAGTACAAAGTTGTTAGCCAAGAGGAAATTTTCAGCCCACGAACTTTTCCCAGACAATGGTGATCTACAGTTTGATGTACTTGAAAGGGGTCTCCGTGCCAAAAAACCCAAGCCCTCCTTGATGCCCTTTACTTTTACCAACCCTGCCAGTCCAGCCGACATTTGCCACCCATTGAAACTTGATGGCGACCTGGAATTTGAACTACTGGAACAACTTGCTTACCAACAGCAAGAACCAATGAAAGAACAGGAAAACAAGAAAGATGCTAGTAAGTTCTATTTCTTATTGACCAAAATTTGATTATGTTACTTGTGTTTTTACATGTCAAGAAGTAGAACAGCGCCATATCGAAGCAAAAATAAGTTGCCCGCTGTGACAGCATAGCAAAACTAAAGTTGGACTCTCTTCAGAACCAGATGGAGGGGGGTGGGTCTTCTGTCCCTTATTTATATAACTTAAAGAAACCATGTGCCCTTACAAAACAACATTGTATTTTGAAGACGTTAAACACCAACTACAGAAGTAATATACAATTATGTCTATCTTTAACTCATGGAGACATCAACATGTTTTATTAAGTATTTGTAAATAATTTTGAACAAAATAATAAATTTCGAACATTATGTAAACAATGTAGAAAGTCGTAGATAAGTCAAAACAACACTACGTACGTGTAGTCTGAATTCATAGGCACAATCTTTTGAAGTCTGTGTATACAAGCAAGTTACATTGCATTGCATTTATAGATGTAATTTGCATTTGTTTTTTAACAATAAAACGATAAACAGGCTACCACGTAATGATTAAGATGCAACAAGTCACATGTGCCTAGTAAGATTGTAAACATCAACAAATAACATGTGATCAAAGGTAAATCACCCCAAAACAATTATGTGGGAAGGTTTATTTATTAATAAGTTGATGGAGAAACAGGCGTTGTATTCAAATCTTGCTCAATATCAATGCTATGACACATTTAACATAATATCACAGACTATTTAAAAACAATAATCATGTAACATGTAACATGTAATAGATAATTCGGAATTATCAATGCGTAGGTATCACACAGGTAATATTAAATGGTGTGTGGCAATTCTTTTATATACGATTCTAAGCGACGGAGCTCGTCACCTGATACGTGATGAGTTTATATAACTATTGAGTGTACATGTATGTGTTGAAATCTACATGAGATATGCTTTACACATGATTCCTTTATATAAGTGTAGTAAATAGATACTCGACGAATCTGTAGGTACCGGTAACGCACCTTCCACTAGTAATTCATCATCCTCGTTTAATTTTTAACACTGTTTTATTAGAATAAAAATGACAATTCTTCGACGGCAAAATCATGATAAACCTGTCAGAAGTTTTACAAAGCTTCACAATCATTATGTTATTTAAAATTATAATTTTCAGAGTCCACACAAAATAACTTTCTTGTCGCTACCAAACCAGTATCTAAGAAGAAGGTACTGACAGTGGTGAGGGACCATGGAACTTTGACCGGTAACTTTAGTCCTGAGAGACCAGTCACCGACCTGCTTCACCTTCTCTTCCTGTACCCGGTAGTTAGAAACTATGTTGAGAACAAGGAAATGTCAAATTATGTTGAGAACAAGGGAATGTCAAATTATGTTGAGAACAAGGAAAGATCTGTCGTTCCATACCAGATGTCAAAACCAATCTTCGACATCAACTCGACCAACACCATTTCAACCGTCACAGAAATGTCGGTAAGGACAATTGATATTGAGAGGGATTCCACTGAGGCATCATGTTTAGTAGATACTCCAGATATTTTCTGAATAATAGCATGAAATTATAAATATTCTTGGTGACGCGAACAAACTATACAAATTGCATTTGATATGAA